CAGGAGGGCAGCAGAGGAATGGACAACCGATGGCCGTGGGGCGAGAGGGAGAAGGAAAGCTTCGAACAGTGCTGCAGAGAGTTGAGGAATGTGGATGGGCAGTGCAGGTGCGATGCGCTGGGGCAGGTTGCTCGTGAGGTACAGAGCCATGAACAGGATGAACAAATAAGGCAGTACTTGCAAGATTTGGCTAGGGAATTACCACTGCAATGCGGACTCACCCCTCCGATATGCTGGTTCTAAGCGCTGACAGTCTCCTTCCTTTTCTAAGCCCCGCATTCAAAATGGAACACAACACAAACAACCAACACCAACACATCGTCGTGTGGTTTTCTCTTTCCTGGCTTTTCAAATAAATAAAGCCTTCAACAGAGATAAATTCTGTAATCTCCCGCTGTTTTGACTCTCCTACTAAATAGCAAACAAAAAAAACACAATTATGATCTATCGTAACACGAAAAACTCTGGATTATCTAACATTTAAAAATCATCCCGAAAGGGTTGTCGCCCATGCTAGTTCACATAAGTTAGTTCAGGTTGGTAGCCCCAAGTTGATTCGGTTCGAGATAGTCGTATCAGGTTGGTCGCCTCGAGTTGGTTGAATTGGGTTAGTCCAAGTTAGTCAACCTTGGTGGTTGGCAAGAGTTTAACATGCTGGTTGGTTGTGGTCAGTCCGAGGTGGTTGGGCTAAGATTGTCGAGCCTGTGCTAGTCGACCTGTGTTGTCTGGTCTGGGATGGTCAGACTCGAGTCTGGTCAACCCTGGTTAGTCGGCCTATGTTGGGCTCGGGGTGGTTGGGCCCAAGGTTGCTTGGCCACAGTGGGCCTCCCCAGAGTGGTTAAACCTGAGTCTGTCGTCTCAGGTTGGTTGTCTTGTGCAAGTCGCCTAGGGGTGGTCGGTCCGGAGTTCGTTGGCTCGAGTGAGTTTACCTAAGGTGGTTAGAGTCGGGTCTATTGTCTCAATTTGGTCATCTTAGACTAGTTGGCCTAAGGTGGTCGGCCGTGTTTGTTGGCTCAGGTTGATCGCCTTATTACTAGCGGTTTTTAATTTCAAATCTTTTCTAATTGAAGGAAAATATAAATGTTTGAGAGTTAAAAAAAATGACTTGTCAGAATCATGATATAGATTATTTGAATATAGTCTAATTATTAGAATAGAGTGTATAATAATAAAAAAAGAAAAGAATTTATATATTCAAGAATCACAACTATATAATTTAGAATTTTAAGATTCTATCTATGTGTACTTTTATATTATTCATAATGATCAAAACTCTTTATAATTGAATGAAATTATACAAGTTTTACGTTTTTATTAAAAAAAAAAACTATCACTCCTACCCTTTTGGGTTTTCGTGACATAATGTAAAAGACGCGTTTTTGACATTTAAATCTCTGGATTATATGACGTTTAAAATTTGTCACGAAAGGACGTTTTTGGTAGGTACCAATGGAGATTTATGCATTTTTTTCATTATTCGTGATGGTTTTTAAATATCACGAAAAGAAAAAATGTTGGATTTTTATGACACTTAAAAAAACATCGAGAAAGGGTGAAGGCACGTTGTTTGGTAGGAAAATATTAAGATTTACAAATTTTTCGTCAGTTGTGATGTTTTTTAAATGTCACGAAAAGCCAAAAAAGTGTTGCATTCTATGACAGTTAAAACACGTCATGAAATGATGTGGCACATTTTTTGCAAACCATGCGTGCACTTTTTTTTTTTTGTTAATTTATGACATTATTGTAAGTGTCACGATGAGTAAATAATATTTTGGGAATTTCATTATATTAGAAAAATGTTTAAAATGTTGAGCTCATTTTTTTAGTGAAACAACAAATATTTAAGCGGGATCCTAACTTTTTTGGTATTTTATGATGATTTTTAAACGTCACGAAATGTCATAATGACACGACCCGTCCCAGAATACCTACTAGTTCAAGAACAGACAGCGCCGACCATGGACCCCACTAGGTGCAGAGTCTATAGTCGGAAACCTTTTAGACTTTTAAACTAACTTTTAACATAACTTTAAATTCTTTCTTAAATACACTATTTAGAATGTAACTACAAATGATATGCAATTTCTCAACGACTCTGGATGGCAGAAGCTGGTTCATTCTCTCTTCGAAACTCAAATACAACCTGAGGGGAAAACAAAGGGTAAAGAGTGAGCTAGAAAGCTCAGTGAATGGTAAATTAATACAAAAAATAATATTGTAAAACTTTTTTCATAAACAACTGAAGTTTCGAAGTTCTGCAAAACAAACTTTATAAAACCGTTCTAACAAATATTCTCATTAAATCTCATAAAACTTGAGAAACTAAAACTCATAAAGACTTTCTCATAATAAACGTGTAACAACACACATTTTCTAAATAAATTTGTAAATCGTTCTCCTGAAACATTAAACAGAACTAGGAAAGCACTTTCTAATAACATATAAAATATTTTCTTTCAACCAATAAATAGGTTCAGAAAACTCAACACCACACATGTATCCACATTCTATTCTGGTCTACTAGCGTAGAGTAATCTCAATACGCACAGCAGAATAATTCTATTTCTGGTCTACTGGCATAGAATAATCTCAATATACACAGCAGAATAATTATCTCAACACGCGGAGTAAAATGGTCTCAAAGACCTTCTATTTCTAAGTATACTATAGAAACACATTCATATAGCATACGGGTAATCACTTGGATACGATAACATTGTGGTTTGAAAACTTCTTTATCAATCTCATAAACAGTTTTAAAATTCTTCTTTTTCTTCTTTATAATAACTTTTCTTTTCCAAACCACTTCTAAAATATTTCCTCCTAATCTTTCTTTCTAAAAACTTCTTACAATCATCTAAAAACATAAACATTTATAATTCTTATCAAATCCAATTATTCCCAAAACATTTCTAAAATCCTTCTTTCTAATATCATTTCAAGGAATTTCAAACATTCCTCTAGAATCATATAGTATTAATAAATTCTCATATTCAACCCATCTTCATTCATTCTAAATCAAACATTTCTTAAACTTCAAACATTTTTCTAAATCACAGAACATTTCTCCAGATTTTATGCATCTCCAAAATATCAAACAACCAGAGTTACTTTCTAAATTCTCAGACACATTCATAAATTCTCAAAGCATTTATAAAACAATTCTTTCTAACACATTTTCTTTAATTCTCAACAGAAATGCTAAAACATACCTAATATATATTTTCTTGAAATTTTATCATAATATATTCTAAAAACATTTCTAAAATAAACCACTCACAAATCCTTAAAATCGGATCGTACGCCGTTCCAAATTTCGCTTGACCTGAAATACCAATCGAATACCAAATTATTTCACTTAATTCCAGCATAAACTAATTCCAATTTAATCACAATAACTTCAAAATAAACCAATTATTCAAATTCCTCATTCTCTCTCTTCATTTAAAACTATCACTTCTTCTCTTTCATACTACCTTACAAGTGGGACCAACAAATACAATTCAATTTCTCTTCCTTTCAACTTCACACGATTACACCATTTTTTTTCTTATTTATTTTTATCCAAACTTTCCTTCTCTCTTCCTTTCAACACCCCCCATTATCTTCTTCTTCTTTCTTCACTCAAAACCCACAAAATTTTCTTCTTTTCTTCCCTCCTCCTCTATTTTCTTTCTTTTTTTTTCAACCAAGAACCACAATTTAACCTCAACAATTATGTTCCAACTAGTAACGCAATAGCAAATCTCCTTTGTCCAGACAAATTTCTTGAACATTACATGTAAAACCCACCGATTCAAAGGTCTTCTTTAGAGGAGGAACCCACAATTAAACTTTTATCTTCTCTGTGTAGCATTTTAGAGAACGTAAATCTACCATCTCCAAATTTCAATTCATTTCTTGCACACGGAGAAATCCATAAACCCTATTCACAATCTATTTCAAACAAGTTTACTTACCAAATCTTGGTACTTTTCACGGTGAAGCTCCCAAAAGCAGCACCAACCCAAGATTTCCTCAACCCTTTGTGAGATTTTGATCTCTCTCTCTCCCCTGTTTTCCTTCGATTCTTTCCCCTCCGTTTTATGTTCTTTTCTTTTTCTTCTTCTCCTTCGTTCTCTCTGCCTCTTCTTTTCTTTTGTTTTCTTGCCTTTTCTGTTCTTATCCTTTCTTTTTCTTTCTTTTATTTATTTTTTTTGGGTAAATGTAAAAACCACCCCTAAATTATAATAGTTGTTGCAAATACACCCACAAAATTGCTAAAATTAAACCCTCCAACTTAAATAACGGTTCCAATTAAATCTCTCTGTTAGTTAGGTTAACCTTCTATTAACTTCTCCTTTAAAAAACAAACTCATATTTTAAAAAATAAAATAAAGCCTTACAGAATCACGCATAATAATCTTTCGTAGAGTGAGGGAGGAAACTAAGAGTTTTCAAGATTTGAGGAAGACAAAAGGCAAAATCGATTCTAAACAAGATCACTACTAATTGGATTCCAGTTTTGATCATAATATATACGGCTTGGGAGTGTTCTGTTAAGTAATACAGAATCGAGTATCATCTTCTTACATTTTCTCATTTTTATAATTTTGGCGGTAGAGTTTTGAATCCGACCGGGTTTTGATATTTTCATCCTCAATTTTATTGTTTATCAAAACAATCTTGATGTAAGACCTATTGCAATTACTCAAAAAATCATGTATATATATTAGATTTCAAAATGAAATCTACATGCCAACTTCAACATGGATTGTAAATCAATATTTTAAATTGTTGTGGTCTCAGCTCTAAACTCCTACCATAAATCTCAATTTATGGATCCAAGTAAAAATTAACAATCACCATCCGTTCAATATATGTTTGTTTGAGCCGAAAATCCCACTTTGACAAATTCTAAATGAGAATTGACCGTAAAAGAAAAATGGACATTCCGATGCTCAAGTCTGTAAAATTTCAAACTATTTTACTCTCAAATTCAATTCAAGTTTTGCACATACCTATGAATTAGTTTAGCCCACGTATAGGCTGCCAACCACTAGGTGAGTGGATTGCATTTCATCCGTCAAATAACATCAAATAGTATGTTTACATGTCTAAATATTTTAATTATTTATCATCTTTTCGTCAACAAATTGTCCGACCTAATTGAAGGTTGAAAACAGAATCAACTAAAAAAATATAGATGCATTTCGTATATTTAGCCCAAAATCAAAATCAAAATTGAAGATGATATATAGATACGTAGAATACTTGATGAAACATTTTGGTAAATTATTTTCGCTTAATTAAATTAATTATGGCCAACACCAATACTCATTGTTCTTGGAAAAGTGGTAGAAAATCAAAGTACACGTACAATTTCGAGAAGAAAGAAGAGAGATATTCAACCTTCCACCAAAAAACTCCTCGTATTCTTCCACCCACTATAAAATAGAGTTTTCTGATTCCTGTTCTGACATTCAAACCAAATAATTAAACCCCCGTCGAGTTCTTCCAAATTTACCAAGGTTATTTATTTTTCTATTCAAAATAATTAAGTATTGATTTTTTTCTTCTTCTTCGGGTTTGTGATTATGAACAATATAATGCAATGCAATGCAGATGCAGATCTTTGTGAAGACGATGTGCGGGCAGAGATTCGGTTTAGATGTTCTACCGACGGACACGATTGCTGCTGTGAAGGCTAAAATACACAGGGAAAAGGGTTTTGGTGTGGACACTCAACGGCTCACTTTTGGAAGCAAAATTCTGGACGATCATCGAACTCTCGCAGAGTATAACGTGCAGGCAGACTCAGCATTGCATCTGGTTTTTCGTCTTATTGGTGGCTTTTAGCAGTCTTTTTAAGTTTGTTTTTCAGTACGTGATGTCTTTATATCAATCAAAACACAGTGATTTTCTAGATTTACGAATGTAATCAATTTGGTTCTTTGCTACTCTCGTGCGGGTTTTGGGGATTTTTTTCCCTCAAGTTTTGAAATATCCTCAAAATAAGTTTAAATCACCGATCAACCCAAAAATAATTAACGATGATAGGAGTGTATTTATCTTCTTGGCATATATGCATTGTTGAAGGGAGTGAAGTTGGATCGTGTATCTTGAGTACGATAAGTCCCAGTCCCATTGTACATGACTATTTCAGATTGATATTGTTTGCTTTGTGTTGGACTTGGTTGCTCAAATATGCCTTATCATCGTCATCTTTGACCGTCGAGGCTATAAACTTTACCGAGAACAAAACTGATTATCAAATGGACGAAATAATTAATGAAGTTTCTTTAATGTTGTAGAAATTTAAAGGGATTTGGATTCTCTATATGGTAGATCATGTGGTTTCGAGTCCTTTGTTTGAGATATTTTACATATGATAATTTTATATTTTTAAGAACAATATTCAATCAATAAGAACGCTAAGATTATTGATGGATATGCTATAAGAATAACACATATATATGTGCTTACGTTAATTATTCCTAGCTGTCATCTTTTATTGTCAACCCCAATAACAGAATTTGTAATAAAGTTTCAATTCAATTTTTTTACTTCAGTTTAAATATAATTATTTTACAGTTTGTTCACGTGCAATTTTGATAATGGATCTTTCGTCCATAGTCTTGAAGATCTTCTATTAGTGGAATTGACATCTCGTCGTCAACTGTCAGCAGGTTTTTTGCCTGTCAGAATCTTCCCCTAAGTCAGAGTCAAGTCGATGCAGAACAATGCTTTTGGACACGCTGGTCCTTCCTCCTTGTCCTTAACGTGACCAAATTGAGACATAGGACACAGATGTCTTAAGGGGAGAGGGTCATGCTTCAAAGTTGGATTAACCCCTTAGCATTGTTCCAACGTATAAGTTAACTTTTAACCTCGTGGAGTGTTGGGAAATTAGATACTCCAAACAATTTCCCCTTCCACAGTTATATCCAGCAAATCACAATCACACTAAACAAATAAGAGATTAAAGGAAAAGTAGAAAAGGACACAAAGAATTTATACCGGTTCACTCCAACAGTTTATGGGCTACGTCTAGTCTTTCTCTCAGATGCCGGTTCCACTATAATATGAGATTGGATACAAGCACTCAAATATCTCACCTCGATATTCACCCTCTAGAGGTCCCAACAAAAGCCACATAGCTTCTAAGTATTCAAAACAATATACTTAGTTACATAATGAAAACACTCACAGAATAATCGATAACAAATTACCCCAAAGCAATGTCTGGATCTGACCCTTTCTGTGTTGCCAATACTTTGCTTCCAATTTGCTCTCAAAGTCAGTTGTAGCAAAACCCCACACAATACACGGCTAAACTAAAACAAAACGAAAATATATCCTTTTATAAAATTGTCGTACCGTTGAGATGCTGCCCTTGGCGTCTCAACGTTATGGATGATGTAGCGTTGCCCACAAAAAATGTCTCTCGCGCCTTTTCTAATCTTCGTCTTTTGTGGTCGGAGCGTCTATTTTTCTTTTTTGATTTCACACTAGCACTGCAACGCTGTCCCTAGTAGTACTACACTGTTGTCCTCCTGGCCAAAATGGCCTTGCAGTGCTCCTTTACCTATCTTCCATTCTCGCTTCGTCCTGACGCATCCCGACTCTATCCTAGCTCGTTCTGATGTCGATTTGGCTCCATAATCCCAACAATCTCCCACCTAGAGACAAAGCGACGACCTCACTTCCCACTGCACCAACAATGTCCCTCATGACTCAATTCTGACTGCATCACAGTTTGTAACTGATCAAAGTCTTCTTGGCACCAACCAAGGCTCAACTCCAACTACACCGATAACTTCCAACATCTTCTTGGCACCGACCAAGACTTCATCTATGATTGTCTTGGGATTGCACAATCTTACGTGGTCTTGTCCCCCAGACGTTAGAGACATAGCACGTACTCCCACTCGATCTAAGTGGTCCTGGGACGTTTCCTTCTTCACTCGCACCCAACGAATTTTGAAGAAAGATCTCCACTCTAATGACTTAACACTCCCACCTAAGTCTGTTGCCACTATAGAGACATCACTCTTGACTTTAGCACCCACTGTAGTCTTCCCTGCACTATTTCACCTAAGCTGCTTCATCAGCTCACTAAACCGTCTGACAACTGAGGCTTGAAATTGACAAGCTGTTGGAACACCTCACTGAGTTGTTCCCCTTATCCTTTCTTTTACTTCTTCGCTGTTGTACTTGAACTGATGGTAGATTTTTCTGATCTGTCCTGGTTGTCAATGCTGCTGATTCATTCAAGTCTCACTCTAAACCATCTACAACCCTGTGCATCCTTTGTCTCTCAGATCCCCTGGTAACCTCAAATCTTGACACATAAATAGAAGCTTCCTAGTGGCCCATTGCCACTACCTCGGATCCCCTAAGAAGTTTCCAGCTATCCTCTACGAACTCACTCCTGTAATCATCGTCATCCAGTTTTCCATCAAATAACAAATTCTTTCTGAAACCTGGAACATACTTGACAGCTCCCAACACCAACTCAGTCCCCCAATCGGTATTCAAACAGACATTCTCAATTCCTCTAACCTTGGAGACACTCACATTCCTCATCCTTACGTCACCATGCTAACTAGTGAAAGATAAGAACCATTTTCTGCTTGAAGATAAATGTGTCGATGCTGTAGTGTCCACAACCCACTCTGATGATCGATCTACTGAGTTGCTTTCAACACAAGTCATAAACTCTTCTACTCTTTCTTCTACAACATTAATAGAATCTCCTTTCTGTTGATCATCCTTAGGATTTCTGCAAAACCGCTTAATGTGTCCCTTCTTGTGGCAGCAAAAATACTCAACATCTCCACTGTTACTCCCACTTCTCTGGTTGTTATACTACTGTTTTCCTTGGTAACCCATCTTCCTTTTGCCCCTGATCTATGCTACTAATGCTGATTCCATACTGTTCTCCCCTCTAAAAGTGGATGCAGAATTCTTTCCACCCCTTTTCTTCGGACCTCCTCAGCTATTGCAGCGTCACATATATTTGAAAATTTCAAACTCTTGTCTCCCAACGAATTCGACACTGCCATCTTCATCGTCTATCAATTGTCAGGCAAAAAGGATAGCAGTTTTATAGCCTTCACCTGC